TGCTCACATATTGTTTATTTTGAATTGCACCCCCTCCCTAAAGATTGTAAGCCGCCCTGAGTCCCCTCAGGGAAAAGGGCGGCCTATAAATCCTAATAAAATACTAAAAATAAATACTAAATACTTCAAACTAAGAAGAAATTTCTTGTCAGAACAATTAACCAATGGAACAGCATGCCTTCTAGAGTTATAGGTGTTCCATCCCTGGAAGTTTTCAGGAATAAACTTGAAAACCTTTAGTATTTAGTATTTATTTTTAGTATTTTATTAGGATTTATAGGCCGCCCTTTTCCCTGAGGGGACTCAGGGCGGCTTACAATCATTAGGGAGGGGGTGCAATTCAAAATAAACAATATGTGAGCATCATGCAGGATGGCGTAGGTTCTGCTGCCTTGAGCAGGAAGTTGGACTAGAGGGCCTCCAAAGTCCCTTCTAGCTTTATGATTCTAGTTTGTTCTGAGTTTTGCTACTCATTTTACCCTCACAAGTCCACAATGGGTAGCTGTGACACCACAAAGATTGAGAGCTCCTGGGATACGTGTATTAAAATGTATAATTAAAAATAAGTAGTACAATTAATTTTTTGCTCAATTCTAAGTCCCAATAAGATCAGGTGTTTTGTTCGTATAAGGGTAGAGGTGACAGAAATTGGTTTATTATTTTAGGGAGTCACAATATCTTGATTTTTTAAAAGATCCCTAGGCCTTTTCATTTCCATTTTTTTATTTCACATATGTGTTTATAAATAAAAGATGCTTCATAATTTCTTCTGTTGTATTGAACTTTACGATCAGCTTTGTTTCTCTGTTTATTTGATAAAATGATTTTATTAAAGACAAGCAAAATATCCAATGGATTATTAGTGACTAGTGGTGAGTACGAAAAAAGCCTATGATACGGTATATGTGAATTTAGCTACGAAAGCTATTTCAAATATTGTTGGTTTTGGGGTTTTCAGTCAAAATGTCTTTGGTACCCTGTTACTAACCTTCTCTAGGGCATCATATTTTATGCTACGTTACCATAGCAGATCTTCTGCTAAGACCCTGCTTCACATTCTAAAGGATTTATTTGGAAATGTACAAATTCTGATTTCACTAATATATACTTAGCTTTTTCTAGAAGTAATTTACCTGCCAGAGAAAGGATGTTGGTTCACAAGATCTCCATTCTGAAGATGGTAATCACTGAAGAAATCAGGACTTATTGCTCCATCATGTGTTATTAATCCATCTACGAAACAAGAAAAAATAGGGCATGAATATGGTATTTCTAAAGTAAAATGTTAAAAGTAGAGACTTGGGTCATTTTATTTTGGAACTACTAAGTTGCATTAGTTTCATGTACTACAATGAAAAACTACATTGTCGGTGCGTAGATCTGTCACTTCTACTAGCTATATAACTGTCTCAGGGGTGGGTTGCTGCCGGTCTTACTACTGGTTCGCTTTGCATGCGTTTTGCACATGCACAGAACAATTTACAGTGAACTGGGCACGCACGGTCACTACAAAACAACATGGCAGCGACATCAGTGGCAGTAAGGGAACCGGTTCGGGGGCATGGTAAACCTGTTCTGCGACCCAGGCCAAAGTGCCACTACCGGTTCAGCCGAACCGGGCCAAACTAGGAGCAACTCACCTCTGAACTGTCTCAATATTTTCAGTTAAACCTTTAGAAAACTATTGGAAGTGGATTCATGGATTTTGAAGGGCTCAAAGTGAAAAATTAATTTAACTCTTTTGATGCATGGACAGTTGTTAAATGATCATGGGGCTGCTGAAAGGTGGTAACTGTGAAAAGCAGACATAAGTCACTTTTTTCAGTGCCATTGTAACTTTGAACTGTCGCTAAATGAACTGTTGTAAGTCAAGGATTACCTGCCGCTCTATTTATACATTACAACTATTCTAGTACAGCATACTGGCTTAAGTTAACAATTTGCACTGTTTTTCTTGGCAACTTTAATATGTGTTGAAATATGTCCTTTGAAATAAATAACATACATATTCATACACACATACACAATAAATATTATATATACCGTATTTTCACGACTATAAGCCGCACTGAAAATCCTAAAATTTGA